AGAGAGAGAGAGGTGGTGATGTGAGTGACTGGAGCACTTCTTGGGGCACTTGTGTCTTTTTCCTTTGTCAAGACAAAAGGTGGGAAAGGTTGCATTGAAGCCGTGTTTGGATTAGGAAGTGCATGATTTTTAATACTTTTTTAGGTGGTTTGTTGGTTTATCTTTTTGCTGCCCTTCTTATATTGAATTGCCCTCTAGTGGAAGGGTGGGTGGTCGGAGTCCTCTTTCGCCTTGTTATAATATATATTTTGGCTAATGGAAGTGATTGGGATTTCCATTCAAGGGCAAAAGGGTGTAAATTATTCAGTAAGATGCAATAAGCTATGATCGTGGTTCGACTTAAAATTGAATTTCTGTGAGAAAATCCTAAAAGCCTAGGTAAGCTTTGTTTTTTTATTTTTCGTATTGTTTCTTTTATACTAATGTATTTTTTAAAGGTTTAAATTTTATTTATTTTTGCAATTCATGTCCGTAGTGGTCAAGGTTGTATTTATGAAAAATTTTAGTTCCAAAATCTATATGCAATATAGATTTTTGGAAACAGGACTGCATCACGTTTAAACTTTTTCCTGTGATGAATTTTTCTTTTCTTCTGAATCTTTTTGAACTTATCTGTTAGAGCTGTACCCTCTTTTATTTTATTTTTTATTTTTTATTTTATTTTATTTGTAACGAAGCTGTGCTTCTAATTCTGTGGATTTGACTTGTTAAAGTAAAATCTACGATGCAATGTTAATGTTTAAAAAAGAAAAACTACGATGAAATGTGGAGGTGATGGCGTTCGTTATAAATCGAACAAAAGTAGGGTTTGAAAATATGGTATTACTACCGTCGTATGGCCACATTTCTGTCCAGCCCTAGCCTTGATAGAAACGGGTTGGGCCGGGCCGGGCTGGCAGCGGCTGTAGCCCTCATGCGACCTAGGCCCTACTTTTTCAAAGAGCTGCTCCGCCCTAAGAATTGGATACTCACCCGGAATCATGCTAATAATATGCTCTCTTAATGGAAAAACCAGTGTGGGGCGGCTTGGTGAAAAGTAGAGTTCCTTTTTCCAACTTGCCTTCTCGGGTTTTTGCATTATAAAATTAGAAAGGAATTAATGATTTTACCAGGAGCCATGAGTCTAAAATATTTAGGAAAAAGAACTAAAAAACTGAGCATATTTGGGCAAATGAGACATATTACATACAATATGATTTTATGGGGGCCGTTTGAATACTTGGGCAAATGATATTTACGAGGGGCCGTTTATAGATATTTTCATAGATACAAACGGCCCTTAAATGTATGACATAAAGGGGCGGATGCCTCAACATAAGGTTCCCCTATTCTCATAGTTAATATTTCAGATAAAAATAAATAAAAATAAAAAGATGTTGTTTTTTATATTCTTTTTGAACGGTTTATTGAAGGGAATTGACAAGCAAGAACCAACTTGTAATCTCAGCATATACCAAGTGTAGAGAGAGACATGAACTGTGGGACTGCAGTAGAGAGAGAACTATACTTGAACAGTGGGAGATCTTACTAATACAGTAGCACCGGTGATCCGCACCGTCCAACACACAAAAAAGCTATTGATTGGAAAACAAAAATCCGCACATTGAACGGTCCAAGTTCACTTTACTAAAGTAACCACTGGAGCATGGAACCTTGAAGTGGCACATCACTGTGATGCGTCAAAAGATTTTCTTTTTCCTTTTGTGTGTTTATTTATTGTTTGTTTCATTGTGATTGTATCTTTTATGTGTAAATGCGCCTTCACTTTCAATGGCTGGCACTTACCCTCCAAGCCAAAAAGAATATACCGGATGGAACACGTAGAAGTATATTTTTCTTAGAAAAAGTTTCTATAGGGTTGTAACGTAGAATTATAATGCATCTCAAATATTTGTTTTGATGTTAAAAAACCCATCATCACGACATCAAGATGTATGAGTATACAAAGGAAAAAATATTTTCAGTCCCAAAAATAGTATATCTATGATACATTATCTGAACCGTTTATTTTTAAGATTTTCATGTGTTTATAGATCTATTGGATTTGAACAACTTTTAGAGTTTTAAAATCTTATAATTAGATATGAAAATGGATTCTCTTGCGATCCTATTAACTTTTTACACTAAAAATATATGTATTATAAAATTTGGAGGTACACCTTAATTTGATTGTTTAAAATTACAACCTTGTACAAACCACACCTTTTTTCTTATTACGGTGTCAACCAACAATATAATTGTTTAAAAGGTGCTTAACTTCAAGCAATCAGAGCAAGGTGTCACCTCTAACTCTTACTAAAGAAATACAATTCTAGGGTCATAAATCTTTATGACAGCTTAAATTGTTTTTTCATCTCTAATCATGAAATTTAAAGCTTCAAAAATAATATAAATAGACCATATCTACAAACACCTTAAAAAGTTTTGAGAATAGATGATCTACACAATGTTTTACGTGGATCGTTATTATTACACACTGTTTTTTTTCCCCTCATTTCTATACATCTCGATGTCAATCAATTGTAGAGATTTTCAATGTCGGACACTTTGGGGTGGATTTATGAGTTGCCCTGCAGTTTAAAGTTGACACGTTATATAAACTTTTTCCTTGTTTAAAATAACAAAAAGACCATCTTATGTGTATATAAAACCCATTTGTTTTCTCGTATTAAATAAAGGAGAACCAGGAGTTGGAACTTTGTGAAAGAGACTCAAAATTGGGCCTTGAGTTCTCTTCACTCTTTTCTAACAGCGGAACTTGTACCCAGTGTTTAAAAAATTGATCTGCATCGTAACCGGCCGATACAGATTGGGAATTGGTGGAGGTGATCTGGATCTAAAAAATATCAGGAATAGGCTGCTTCCCCTCATGAACCAGTTGGTTCCAGCCTGTGCATACCGGTTCTTTTACAAAATCTGCTCGGAAACGGTTGAGTTGATTAGGATCTCCTAAAAATATTGGGAATAGGCTGGTTCCCCCCATGCATTAGTCGGTTCAAGCCAATACATACTGTTTCTCTAACAAAACCGGGCTGTTAGAGAACCATATGAACCGATTCTACATTTTTTTAAAAATTATTATTATTATTATTTTATTAATGAATCGACCAGTTTTGGTCAGTTTATGTCTTTTTTTTGGCGGGTTCTCTGATAGATTTGGTCAGTTCTTCAATGATCAAACCAAAACCAGCTTGACGTAATTTTTAAATTTTTTTACAATTTTGTTTTTTCAGATCGTGATCCGAATGGCCGGATCTGAAATCCAAAGGGACGATCATGCTCATCAAGCCCTTTTTAAAAACGTTCAGAGTTGTACCCATAATCCATTTGATAATTAAAATTATTATTTCTTGTTAACCTTTAAAAAAAGGGCAAGTATACAGTGAGAACAAGGAGATCACAATTAATCTTGACCATTGAATGTGAAATTGGGTGGTTGCATTTATTTCATTGACCAAGCTAAAAGTTCAAAACAATTTTTTTTGAACTTTGTGGCACATCCAAGCTATCAAATTTCATATCGGATGGTTATAGATAATTGTGACCTCCCTACACCAAAGGTAAATGGTTTCATTACATACCGTCCCTTAAAACAAAAACACCATTTTATTGGGTCATCATTTTCCCGTGGAAAAATGATGTATAACATGACTCCAATAGATTGTGAAAAACCCCACCCTAGCATATATAGAGCCACAATGAAAAAAAAAAAGAGAGAATTAAAATTTAGGTGGCTCATCACGAATGTCACGATGCTCATGGTTGAGGATGACCAATGGTTTTAGTATAGCAACTCTAAAAGTTACACAACTCTCTTTTGAGAAATATTTCTCAAAGGCAACATGGTGAGGTTTGTATAAGGTTGCATCCTTATATTGTAGAGGTCAGGTGCACTTATAAAATTTACTTAGAG